ATAATGCTTTTTTTTTTAACCGTTATTTTTTTATTGCATCGTTTCCGGTTAATTTTTATCGTTCCAATTTTTTCCAACGCGCTTTTTATTTCCGGCGCTTGGTTGCATTTTTTTTTTTTCGTTTCCGGCCATTCCCAATTTTACTTTTAATTTTAATTGGTTGCAATGCTAATTAACGGCTTTTTTTAAAAAAAAAGGCACGGCCAAAATTAATCCTGCTAAACGCGTTAACCGCAACGGTAACGGTGTTTGTAATAATGGTTGGGCGGTAATTATTGCTCCTTTTTTCCCAATCCCATCGCTTTTAACGCTTTTTTTGCCCGGCCCGCTCCCCGTACTCCCCTAGTAAAAATGCTTAATAATAGCAACGGTTTTTTTAACGCCAATAACAATAACGGCGGCAACGCGCGGGTTAACGCTAATTATTTGGTTCGTTTTTTTTTATTTTTTTGCCGCTAAATCGTTTTCGTTTTTTTATTTTAATTTAATTTTTTCGTTTAGCGATACAAATTTATAACCCGCAAAGCAATAAATGCTTTAACGGAAATCCCCGAAAACATTTTACTTTATTATTAAATAACGTAAGTGCTTTTTGTTAAGGGTTAATCGGTGCAAAGGCGGGTAGTTACCGGGTTACGGGCCGAATGCGGTATTTCCTTTGTTAAGCTTCCGTAAATCTTTTACCAAAGGTGCTATCGCTTACAAAAATTGTTCCTTTTTTAACCTCCCCCTTTTTCGTGCCCTTTCGGGCACCCGGGGTCGGTTTTTTAAATTTTTTGCGTTCCAAACGTTTTCGTACAATTTAAATTTTACCTTATTTTTTAGCTTTGCCATTATATTTTGGCCGCGATACCGGTAATTCGCCGGCATGTCCCCGGGGGGTCCGTACCCGGCTAGCTGCTAGCGCTCCCTTTTTTTTTTTGCCGGGCGGTTTTGCCCGTACATTTAACGCTTTCCGCTTTTTACCGGGCGGTTTCGCTCGTACTTTTAACATATTGCCCCTTTTCGATACGGCTTGTTCCAAACCGTTTGTACCGCGCGTACGACCCCGTAAATAGCCGGTAGCTTACGGTATCCCGTTAAACCGTTTTAATGCCCGGCAACGCTTAAAAAAACCGGTTGTAAAGCTTTATAATATCCGGAAAAATGGGTCCGTACCGGCATATAAAAGGTTTTTTTTCCCGTTCGAAGCTACGAGCCCTTTTTTTTTCCTTTTTGTGCATTTAATAACCATTTTAATAACCTTAACGATTGTAATCGTAAATAATTGGTATTTAACCGTTTTTTTTGGACATTTAAATTTAACCGGTAATTGTAAATGTTATTTTTCGTACCCAATTACGTAAAAAAGGTAATATTTTTTCGGGTATCCGTTTTGGGTTTTTCGGTTTTAACCGGCCCGCTAGCCCTTTTTAGCGACCCCCCGGTATTTTCCTTAATTATCGTGGTTTAATTAAATTTGGATTTGGTTTTGCCAAAGCTTTTAATTTTTTAAATCCCTAACGATCGCTTTGCCGGTAACCTTCCGGTAAGCTTTTTAAATGTTGCAGGTTTATTGGGCCCTTTTGCGCTTACAACCTTTTAAAATTCCTGCAAACGTTTTGCCGGTAACCCCCCGGCGGGCTTTAACCGCCGCGGCAAAAAGACTTTCGCCGAAAAAAAGCGTAAAGCGCGCAACGAACGCTACCGCAACGCTTTTAATTTTAATAAACCTACCCCCGAAATAAACATTGCTTTTTCCTTGCTTTACATGGGTATCCGCAACGCGCTTCCGTCGCAAAAAATTATCGATTTTTAATAAAGCAATAATTAAAACCTTATTTATTTGCCCTTTTTTAAAAATAATTATACGGAACGTACGGTATTTTATAGCCGCTATTTTGGTTGTTAAGCATATTAAAACTATGCCGTTAACCTTTGTATGCCAATATGTTTCGATAATTGTACGGGGTCTTTTAAATATATTTATTGCAAAAACGTAATCGGCAATAAAACTTGCGTTAAATTTTCCAAATAGTTTTGGAAAATGGCCCAAAACCTTTACAAAATTTTAAATACCGTTTATAAGCAATTGCCCGAAACGATACCGAAATTTTTCGAAAAGCTTACTAAAGCCCAATTTCGCGCCCGTAAAGCTATCCAAAAAGCCAAATCCTTTTATACCATATCGGCCGAATAGCTTGCGCGCTACAAACGTTAAACCGTTATTTAAAAGCGCATCCAGCGCAAAATTGCTAGCGCTGCAATATTAAAAATTACCCAAAACATTTTTTAATAATTTTACGCTATCGCCGTTTAAACGAAAAAGCAAGCTTAAATTTCGGCTAGCATTGGTAACTTTTTTAACAAGGTAAAAGCGTTTTTTAAACGTTTTAAAAAAGGTATGGTTGCTTTTTTTGGTAACATTGCTGCTAATTTTGTTACAATTGCGGCGCATTCGGATACCCAAGCTTACAATCGCGCGGTTTCCCGTAAGGGTGCGGCGTTTGTATTAGCGCTAAAAAATGCCGCTTTTGGCGCTAACAATTTTAGCGGCAACGATTATAGCGCTAACAAAAAAAAGTAATTTCCAAAGGTTTTGGTTTTTTTAAATACGGCATTTAATCGATTTTTTTTACATGTTTTCCTAATTAATTATTGGTATTTCTTTTTTAAAAAATGGTTAATTTTAAATTTTTTTCGTTAATTTGTTACAATTAAAACCATAATTTCCTTTCGTTATATTGCTTTTGCAACATTGCAAAATCCCGGTATTTATATTTACTAGCTAAGCTTTAATGCTTTAATAAATAATTTTAAAATGCTTTTTTTTCGTTCCTTTAATGGGTTTAAATACCGTTAATATGCATTTGCCGCTATTTAAACGTTTAGGCCCGTTCGCCATACCATTTAAAAAATTTTTTACTTTTTTTTCGGGCAAGCAATAATATTTTTTACCATAACGTACGTTTAAAATACGGTAATTGCTTTGGCGTATCGCGCTAAGCATGCCTTTTACGGGCTTTTCGAAATATGCTACACTTTGCATATCTTTCGAAATTTAAATATATTGCATTATTAATTTAAAGCGTTTTCCGTATTATACCGTTTTTACCTAACTTTTTATTTATAAAGCACGATATTTTACGGTTATTACAAACCGTTTACGGGTTTTTTACGTTTTTTCCCGGTAATTAACCGGTTCGGTACGTTAAAACATTTTTTTAAGCCATTTTTTTGGCCTTTATTATTTTTTTCCTATAATACCCCCGTTTTTTCCGGGTATTTACCCGTTAGGGTCCGGTATTTTCCTTATTTTATAAGCTCGCTTCCAATAAATTTGCTTTATACGCTTAAACAATTTTTTTCGTAATATCCCTTTTTGGGATTTACAAATTTTTTAATTCGTTGTAACTTATCCATTTAACCAAATATTTTCGTTTCCGCAAAAGCTTTTTATATTTTAGCAAAGCTTTTACTTTGAAACGATCTTTTTTTTTTTTTCGATTTTTGGTTTTTTATTTTTTGGTTTTTTGCCGGGCTTTTTTTTAAACGCCCGCAACAAATTTGCTGGGAATACGTTGTATATCCGGTAATTTACCGAAAGTTTTAACCGGAACGTTAAACCGGCTAACCCAATTATTTTTAGGACTTAAAAAGGTCCTAACCATTTATTCGATAGCTTTTTTAACGGCTTTTTTATTTTAATATTCGCCGTATTTAGCAATACCTAATCGTTTACCCCGAAAAGCACCGGGGTTTTACCTTTATTATAATATTTTTTGTACATATTATTCGCTTTTTTTAACAATTTTTTAGCTTGCTTTTTAATTGTTTCCAAAGCCCCCGTTTTAATTTTAACCGTTACCGAAAGTTTTTTTTTAATTACCCGAAAATTATAAAACTTTCGTAAATAAAACCTTATTAGCAAAAACGCCGGGGTTTTTTGCGACCCTAAATGCACGCTCGTATTATGCATTTACGCTGCTAAGTGCAATAGCAACGCCCAATCGTTTTGCCTTTCGCAGCAAAAGCACCGAAGGTAATGCTTTATTGCTTGGTTTGTTCGTTTTATTTGCCCGTTAGTTTAAAAATGGTATGTTATCGATAGCTTTTTTGCGACCTTTAAATATCCGGCAAAAATTATTTAAAACCCGCTTGTAAATAGCTTATTCCGGTCCGATACAATCCTTTTGGGCGTTTTTAATAGCTTTTAAACGTATGCAAATAAAAAGCTCCCTAATTTTTTATTGGTTAATTTCGTAAACGTTGGAATAAAAAAGTTATATTTAATAAACCGGTTAACCATTACCAATATTGCGTTGCGCTTTTTACCGGTTCCATTTATTAACGTTAAAAGCTTTCCAATAAAATCCATTAATAGCTTTTGTCCCGGGCAATTTGGTACGAACAAAAATGCTAGCAACCCGTAAAATGTTTATATTTTTAGCTTCGTTTGCTAATATATTTAATACGTTCGTACGTATTCGCGTACGTTTTTAACCATACCCGGCCATTTAAATTACCGTTTAAACTTTTTTAAAATTTTGGTTATGCCTTTGTAACCCCCCGTTGGGCTATCGTATTATTCCTAAAGTATTATTCGTTTAAACGGTGCTAAATTCGAAACCCAAACTTTTTTTTTATGCTTAAGCAAGCCGTTGTTAATTTCCCAAACGTTAAGCTTGTTTTTCCAAATACCGCTTTAAATAAAATCGTTTTTTATTTATGCTTTAAAAATGCGCTTTAATATCGTTTTAATATTTTTTTTAGTAATGGTTGTCCTTACGTAAGCTACTTTTCGGAATTTAACTAATAAATCGTTTTGGAATTCTTTTTTTGCCTTATTGGCTTTTCCGTTTACGGGTATATTTTAAAAATATTTTAATAAACCATCCGCGGGGTTCCGGTATCTTAGCTTTTATTTAATCGTAAAATCGTACTTTACTAAATTTTCGAACCATTTTGTTTAGCGCTTTATTATTTTTTCCTTTATTAAAATATGGGTATAATTTAAATAATCGGTAATTATTTTAACAATTTTTTATAAATAAACCAAATAATGCCGTTACTTTTCGAAAGCTTTTACGATCGCTAGCAATTTTAAATTAAAAATTGCATAACGCAATTTTTTTTATCGCAACTTTTTTAATATGTAAGTTACCGGGTATTACCGGCCGTTTTGCAGCTGCAATAGCACCGCTTTTATCGCAAAAGCCAAAACGTTAATCCGCACGCACAACGGTTTTAAAAGGTTAAAATACACCAATACCGAAGCTTTCGTAAATAGCAGCTTTAATTTATAAAAAGCTTTTTTTGCAATATTTTTTAAATAAAATACGGTATCCTTGCTAAAAAGGTCCGTTAAAAGCACAATAATTTTCGCGTAACCCTTTACAAATTTCCAATAATACCCCGTAAAGCCTAAAAATACCTGGATATTTTTAACGCTTTCCGGTATCCTCCATTTTAAAATTGCAATAACCTTATCCGGCAAAATTTTAACCCCGAATTTGGTTATCCTAAACCCTAAAAAATTAATACTATCCGTTTCGAATTTGCATTTAACCGGGCTAACGTAAAGCTTAAACCGTTTAAATCGTTTTAGCACCGTTTTTATTGCTTCGCGATGCTTTTTTTATATTTTTAAAAAAATAAAAATATCGTTTAAATATATAATGCAATTGCTATTAATTAATTTTTTAAGCGCCATATTAATAAAGCTTTAAAACGTTGCTAAAGCGTTGGCCAAACCGAAAAGCATTATTAAGTATTCGTAATGTCCATATTTGCAACGAAAAGCAATTTTTTATTCGTTTTTTTATCGAATCCGTATTTTATAATAAGCGTTTTTTAAATCCAGCTTGGTAAAATACTAATTTTTAAACACCCGGTCGAATATTTCGTAAATTAACGAAAATGCTAACCGGTTTTTTTTAATAACCTTATTAAAACCCCGATAATCGATACAAAAGCAAAACTTCCCGTCCTTTTTTAAAACGAATAAAATCCCGGCGCCGGCGGGGTTAATTAAATGCCAAATTTAACCTTTCGTTATGGTTTCGTTAAAATACCCCCGGAAAATTTTCAATTCCTTTTTGGATAAAAAATAAATGCTTTTGTAAAGCGGCATCGTTTTTTCCTTTAATTTAATTGCGTAATTTTAATTTGTATGTTTTGGCAAAAGGTTTAATTTATAAAATTGCGCATATTTTGCAATTATCCTTTTAACTTATTCCGGGAAAGCTTTTAGCCCTTTCCCGGGGTTTTCCGGGGTTTTCGGGCGTGCAACCGTTAGTACGGCTATCGCTTATCCCAATTAAATTAACTTTTTAGCTATTTCCAACGAAATTATTTTAATTTTTTTAGTAATTACCGAAAACCTTTACTTTATATTCCCAAACCAAATTTTAATATCCTTTTGCTAAAATTAAAGCATGCTTAACGTAATGTTGTACCCGGCCCGGGGCACCATTACGTAAAATACTATTAATTTTCGGGTTATTTTTTAACTATCCGTTACCCGAATTTTATATTTCTTTACCTTTAGCGTAAGCATGCGTTTTTTGGTATCGAATTACGCTAAATAGCCCCCGTTTGGTACCGGTATTTTTTTTATTTCTACCAAAAAACGGCTGTATAATAAATTAACGTCGTTTCCATTATTAACCAACGCTTTTAACTTTACCCAATAACCGTTAATCCGTAAATATACTTCGGTTTTTTAACGCGTTTTAACCGTTAAAGCGCACTTTTAAACCCCGGTATTTAAACGGCCAAATAGCGGTATTAAATTGGGTAGCAATATTTTGCTTTTTTTAGGGTACGCCGGCCGGATATGGCCCAACTTTTTACACCCGTAACACCGTACTTCGGGCTTTTTCCCTTTCGCCCTTTATATAATCGCTAAAGCTAACGGGGTTTCCGGGTTATCCGTTCGTATTTTGCATGCTATAACGATATAGCCTAATTGCCCGCATTTAAAGCAAATAACCGGTTTTTTAAAAGCTAAAATATTTATATCCCCCGGGGTCCTTTTGTACGGTCCCGATATTATTTTTGCTTTAAAAGCTTTAGCTTGCAATTTTTTTATAGTATAAAAAAGGTTTTTAAATATTACCCGTTTTTGGATTTTGGGGCGGAACCGGTTAAAAAGCAATATTATTTTTGTTTATTCGAATGTTAATTCGAAAAAATCGTTTTTTACCAAATTCCAACGAATTCGAAACGCTTTAAACAATTTGTAATCCTTTTGCTTAATAGCGGTATTTCCCGCGAACTTTTTAATCGCTAGCTACATTTGCAAATCGGGGTTTTTCGACCTTATTTAAAACTACCGTAAAAAATCGGCCCAAATAAACAATACCCCGGTATTTAAGTAATGCATTTACTTATATTTTGTCCATTATGCTTGCTAACGATAGTTAAAAGTGCTAAAAGCTATTTAAACCTTTACACGGTTTTTACCGTAACGTTCTTTTTCGCTTTCGAAAATAAACTTGTAATCGTTAATGTAATAAGCAATATTTTGCCAAATTGCCAATTTTTTAAGCATAAAAGGCTTAAAAGTAACTTTGCTTTACGTAAAACCTTTCCGTTGTTTAAAAATATCTTTTTTATTTTCGTTTAAATTTTTATGCGCATGCTTCAACCTTTTGTTTTAAATTTTTTAAATTAAGCGGGCGCGCTTGCTTTAAGCTTTTAGCGCGTTATTTATTTTTTGCAACTTTTTTACAAAAAGGTTTTCGAAATCGTTGGAAATTTACGGGGTTTTTTTAATATTTTGTTCCGGTAGCCCAACGGCCCTTTCCAACGTGCTTAACGTGGCGTCGGGCGTTATTATAAGCGGTACGAAATTGCAAATGCCCTTTTTAAATTTGTTCGATCCTTTCCGGTAATTACCCGGGCTTGTTCCCTAAATAAAAAAGGTGTAAAAAAAAACAATATGTTAAGGGTTAATCGGTGCAAAAGCGGGTAATTACCGGGTTACGGGCCGAATGCGGTATTTTTTTTATTAAACTTTCGTAAATCTTTTACTAAAAGTGCTATCGCTTACAAAAATTATTTTTTTTTTAATTTCCCCTTTTTTCGTACCCTTTTGGGCACCCGGGGTTGGTTTTTTAAATTTTTCGCGCTCCAAACGCTTTCGTGCAATTTAAACTTTACTTTATTTTTTAGCTTTGCTATTATGCTTTGGCCGCAATACCGGTAATTTGCCGGCATATCCCCGGGAAGTTCGTGCCCGGCTGGCTGCCAGCGCCCCCTTTTTCCTTTTTTGCCGGGCGGTTTCGCCCGTGCATTTAACGCTCCCCGCTTTTTACCGGGCGGTTTCGCCCGTGCTTTTAACACTTTTTTTGTTCCTTTCCCGTTCGCGCTCCGGTTAATTATTTAATTTTGCGCGTAACATTTGCGTAAGTTGCATCGATTGCTTGCTTAATAATTTGGGTAAAAAATAAAGCGGGAAAAAGCGATTTAGCAAAATTGCAATTTATTATTTTAAAATTGGTTCGTTCCTTTTGTAATTCCGGGTAATTTTTTTATTTGTTAATTTACTAATTTTTTTAAATACGGACGTATTGTTTTATCGTTTTTATACCAATTGAAATATCCGGTGTAATACAATAAATCGTTTTTTCTTTTTTCCTTTCCGTTATTTAACCGGGTTGCTAACGTATTTTTCCTTAACTTTACCCCGTTGCTATTAAAAAAGCTCGTATTACGGCCGTACTTTTTGTTAAATATTACCAATTGCTTTCCAAAATTAAAAATATGCGCAATTTCGGGTTAAATAATTGCCGCAAATATTTGGTAAATTACTTTAATTTTATTGGTTTTTTATGCTTTATCGATTCGTTAACGGTATAGTACGGTACTAAACGGCTTACAACGCATTAATTATTAAAATTTACACGTTCCGGCGTACCAATAAAAACGGGCTTAACAAATCCGGGGTGCCCACCGGTACTGGTTTTGCTTTTAACCATTTCCGAATGCTTTCCTTTTTTGGCGCTAAGGTTTTTATAAATGCCGGTGCTATTTGTTCGGAATTTGTACGGTCCCTTTCCGGCAACATAATATCGATACTTTAAACCTTTGCTTTTTACGCTTCGAAAGCCTTTAACGCCTTATCGCGTACCAATAATGCTACGGAAATCGCTAACGATTTAAAGGTTAAAAAGCTCGCTTTTGCGCAAGCTTAGCAATTGGTAAATGCCGGTTCCCTTTCGGTAATGGTATTATTTTCGTTGCTTTTGCACTTTTTAATTTATATAAATAACTAAATATAACGGTTGTAAAATAAGGTAATAATAAAAATAACCTAGCGTTTTTCGACCGGATGCTAAAAATAACGCGGGAAAAAATCCGCACGCGCTAAAACATGTAAAGCAATAATTCGTTCCCAAACTTGCTGCTAAATGCTGCTAAGTATGGTTAAGCGTGTAATCGTAACTTTTTTATGTTAAATTGGTAATTAAAATAATTGTATCCGGTTATTAATTCGGCGTTAAATTATTTATTTAAAGCGGTTCGTTCCTTTAATATTTGCATTTTTAATTAATCGTTTTTCCTTACCACTTTAAAATTGTTAAATTTATTTATCCTAATTGCCAAACGTATTGCTAACAAAAAAAGGGGGGGCAAAAAGGGGCCGTCCTGGTCCGTATTAACTCCGGTAATAATGCTTATTTTTTATTGCTATCGTTCGAAATATGCTTTACGGTAACTTATATTTTCCTAACCCGAACTTATCCTTTACCTGGCATAAAAAAAGCATTTAGCAAATAAGTAAAATGCTATTTCCCGTTGCCCGATTTTATACGGGCAACGGGGCGTATGCACGTCGAAAACGTTTTTATTCCAAAAAAACGTTTTTAATTCCAATTTTTCCATCCTTAATTAAATGGCCATTGCGCTTTAAGCTTTAGTAAATCCTTGGTATGCTTCCAATATTAAACCGTTAAAGTTAAATTTATTTGCGGGGGTTGCGGGTTAAAATAAATTCGCTTTCGTTGCTATAGCGCAAATTTTTTTGCATTTAACGTTCCATTTAATTTTAAACCATTCCTTTCCTTTTTTTTTTTTACTTTCGATCCGTTAATTTTTGTGCTTTGGCATTAGTTTTCGTCCTGGTCGCTTTTTAAGTAATTACCGGGGCGGGGCCGGGCTTGGGTTTAAAAGGTTTCAACGGGTCCCATTTTTGCGCCTACCGGTTTTTGCTTGCCAAATTAAATAAATGTAATACCCTTATTTTTTTACGATATTTTAATTATCGGAAATATTATTGCACCTTATCGGTACCGGTCCGAATTACATTTTTTATTCCAAATTTTTCCCATTTTTTTTTTGCTTTTAATACCCTTTCGTTTAAATACAAATTAATTAAAAGGGTAAAGCATTTAATTTCGAAATTGGCTAACAAAATAGCTTTGTAAGCCCCGGCAATGGTTTTTAAATACGCGCGCTATTTTTTTTAAAGCTATTTGGCGGCGCTTTTGGGGCGGCCCGTTACCGGTATGGCTATGTAAAAAGCTATCGCGCCGTATACCAAAACCGTACGGCACATTACGTTATAAAAAAGCTTTCTTTTCGCAAACGTATTGCTTTACGTTAACGAAATAAATCGAATAAATGCTAGCTATTGCCTTTTTTGCTTGCTTTTTGCTTTTTTTGTATATTTTTTAAAATTAAAGCGAACGTTTAACCAAACCCCAAAAAACCTAACCGTTTGGTTGGGCGCTACCGCTATATCGCCAAATTAAACCACGGGCAAATCCTCGTCCTTACTAAAATGAATTAATTTAATTTTGGTACTATTAAACTTTATACCGTATTTAGTTGCCCATGCTTCGCATTTCGGCCAAGCTATTTTTAAAAAGCGGGCCATATCCTTTGCGGTATTTTTTATTGTTAATAAATTAATATCGTTGGCAAAACCGGTAACGAAAATCCCTAAAATGCTTTTAAAATTTTTATACAATAATGCAATATATATAATAAAAAGTATAAAAAATAAAGGAAAGCTTTAAAAAACTCCGGTTCGAATTGGAATCGAATCCAAAATATTGCCGTTAAATTGCAAAATAACCGTCTTATTTGCTAACCACCCTTTTACCCATTTTACAATTGGTAAAAAGAAGCCGTATTTTTTTAACGTATTTAACAATCGGAAATGGTTAACGGTATTAAATGCTCCGAACAGGTTAAATTATAATAACAACGCGGTAACGCCGTAATTTTATGCTGCAATTACCGCTTCCATTACTTTTTAAATTGCCAATTTCGTGCTTTTAACCCGTTGGTTGCCCATTTGGCCGTTGGGAAAAATGCCTTTTTTTTTCGCTTCGTTGGCAATTCGTTTTGCTATGGTTAATTTAATAACCTTTAAAATTAATAACAATAAAGCGATAAGCTTTTATCCCCCGGTTTATTTCCTTTTTTCGGTAATTTTGCTTGGCTTGGGTAATACTACCGTAAGGGCTTTTTTAAAACGCTTCGGGAAATAACTTATAGCGATCGTTGCGTTAGCAAATTTCGCGATAACAATTGCGCCCAACAATTCGGCGGCTTTAAATAGCCCGTTCAGGAAATGGTTTTAGCCCGTAACTTTTTACGGTTTGGTACGGCCCGTTGCTTCCATAATATTTTGTAAAGTAACGAAAACGGGCATTTGGAAAGGGTTTGGGAAAAAATGGTTCGGAAATTCGGTTTCGTTAATATTAAAAGTATTAATTAATAAGTTTGGAAAAAACTTGGATAACAAAATTTCGGTTTTTTTTAATGGCTATAAAGCGTATCCAGGTTTTTTCCGGTTTTAATTAGGTTCGGTAACCAATCCGGGTTTTTTTTTTAAAAGCTTTTTAAACGGGCTTATTTTTCGAATTTCCAAAATGCGCCGTTTTTTTTAATATTTTATCCCGTTACAAAAACAACGCTTTTTTAATGGTTAAACATTGCTTAACGTTTTTTTTTAATAAATGCTTTGTTCGCGGCTTTATACGCTTTTTATACTATTTGCGTTTTATTTTTAATAAAAGCGTATTGCAAACGGTTCGCTTTTTTACAAAGGTCGTTAAATTTTTATATTTAATAAAGGGCGCGTTTGTTAAAAAGGCTTAATTTCCGTTAAAGGGCTAATTGGTTAGCAAATTAAATTAATTATTGCATTAATTTATCGGCTTTTTTATTTATGGTTTTAATATCGTGCATATTCCCGGTCGTTATTAATTCGTTAGCCATTTTGGCTTTAACTTTCGTTAATTTTTTTATTAATTTAACGTTTTTCCATTTTTAGCTTTTAATTTGTTAGAATTAAAATTGCTGCGGTTTAAAAAAAACGCAAAGTATTTAAAACAAATGGTTAAACTTTTTTATCGTATTATTTTATTTTAAATATTCCATTTTAAATTGTTGCGTTGCTTAAGCGTAATCGATTATACTATTTTTTTTTCGTTTCCTTTTCGTAATTTTCCCGTAAAGCGTTGCCAATCCAAATCGTTTACGGCGTGCTAATTCCAAAAAGGTTTCGCTTTTTGCGTTATATTTATTGTATAAATTTTAAATTAAATGGTAAAAATTAAAATCGCTTGTAAGGATTGTATGCTTTTGGGTTGGGTAAATAGCGATTATAATAAAAAGCGTTATTTAATTGGGGCTTGCTTTAAAATTTGGAAAATATATTAAATATATTTTTAATGGGCTTTCCGGCGTAATAATTATAATTAAAACCCAATTGTAACCGTACCGGGCAATTTATAACATAGGGGCAAAACGGTTATGCACGTAAAGTATTGCGTTAAAATTAAATTTTTAGTAATAAATAAGCTCGTAATTGCAACCGTACGGTTTCGAAAAGTTCCCGTGCTAGTTGCGCTCCGGCTTTTGGATAGCTAAAATGTTATATTATTTGTTGCTATAAAAAAAAAGGTCGCTTTTCCTTTTACCTTTTCCCATATTTTAATATAATATGTTTAATTTTATACGTTATTGTTATCGTTAATTGGTTGGTTAAAAATAAACGTAATTTTGGCTGCAAAAAAGTTAAACGGTACCGGTGTAAAGCCGAACTGGGTTGGTTAAAATGCAAACGGTTAAAGTAAAAATAAATTGGGGGAAAAAAAAGGGCTTTATGGTTTGGCGCATTAGCAAAGTCGAAATTAGTAACCGCGGTATTATTGGGTGCCGTTGGGTCGTTAACGGCCCCGCATTCGTTTATTCCCTTTGTTTTTGCTATTTTATTAAAACCGAAAAAGGCAAAGTTTGGGTTTGTAAAGTATTGGTTTATTTTAAAAGCGGATTTAAAAAAGTTTAACATTTCCTTATTGCGGAATTTTCGTAATTTGTTTATTTGTTTTTTAGCTAAAAAATTTTCCTTTGCTTTCGTTATTTTTAATAAAAAGCCGTTCCGTTTGCGTTTCGTTAGCAATTTTAAATTAAGCAAATTGTCCTTTTTTTGTAACGGTTAAAAAAGGCCGGGTAAAAAGCGGATAAATGCAAAAAGCAAAAAGGTATGAACGGCAAAATGGCTTATTTGGTCCGGTCGGAATGCGCGCTCGTTCCCCGTTTCCAAAGCAAATTATTTCGGCCGGTTTAAAAATGTATTTTTAGCCCTTTTAATTTCTTTTTTTGCTGCGGGGCACTTTTATTAAAAGGCCGGGTAATCGCTTCCGCAATTGCAACATTTCGGTTCGTTTTTTTTTGCAACAAATTAACCCCCGTACAACGGGTACAAAAATTCCCCGGCTTTACCGTTATTATATAACGGCCCGGCGCAATGCGGGTAACGAATCGCTTTTTTGCAAAACTTTAATTTATATTTTTACCCGTAATATTTATAATATTAAACGGTTTTCGTTCCCGTTGCAAACGGTTTAACGTTAAAAATTTCGCTTTTAAATACGAAACTATTATTGCATACGGTTTGGGCTGCAACGGAAAATGTAATTTTAATTAATACCGTAACGTATCCTTTCGGTTACCGGGCATTCCATATATAAATAAAATTAATTTTAGCCCCGATATTATACGCTTTAAATTTGTATAACAAAATGTTATTATCGTTGGTTGCGTTTTATTAAATGCTTTTAATTATAACGTTATAAATTTAAATTCGGTATATTGCTTTGCTACCAAATACTTTAATAATTTACGCGGTATTTTTCGTATATTTAACAACGGTTATATAAAATAAAATTATTACGTTATTGCTAAAAAGCTTGCGCGTTGCTTTTACGTTATTACCGAATTTTTTAATTAATGTAATAATAATTTTAACGGGTATGCGGTTTGCAATTTTAAAAAAAACGTTTTTAATTAAAATGGTAATTTCGCGTTTAATGCGCGCGGAAATATATTTCGGAAAAAAAAGGCCGGTATTGGGAAATGCGTAAAAGCGAATCGTAAGCGGGTAATTGCCGGTTTAACCGCTTTGCAACAAACCGGTTACTAAAACCGAAACGTAATTGGTAATTTGCTTACGGGCGTTGCGTATTTTAACGATAATTTCGTTTTTTATAATGCAAAAGTAATTGGGCATATAATTGCAATAATTGCAAAACCGCGTTTTAAACGCGTTTGTTACGGTTTTAATCCATTCCTTTACAATTTTAAACATTAATTTGGTATTGCCAAAAAGCACAAAAGGCTTTAATATTTTAATTAATTAATTTTTTAAATTTGCGATACGGGTGCGCGTTGGGAAAAAGTTGGGGGCGTTGGTTATAGTAATGTTATTACTAGCTTTAAAGCGGTTGGTAACCGTTCCGCCGCTTTCGGGGCTGCTAGCGCTGCCAGCAACCGCGCCGTAAGCGCGCTTGCGCGCAAATATACGTCCGGTGGCGAGCCGGAAGCGAAAAGTTTAAATTTAATGTTAAATTTGCTATATTTAATGGCGTTTTCCCGTTGCAAGGTCGGGGAGGCAAAAGCGGTTAAATTATTTTTTAAATTATAAAAGGCAAAGCTTACGATATGCTTTTGGGCTAAAACTTTTTTTTAAATGCGGCTTTTATTTGAATTAAAAAATATAGCAATTAAAAATCGAAAATATTTACGGGCAAAAAGTTTAAATTCCGGTTGGTTGCATAAATTAAAAAAGCAAGTTTGGCTTTAAATACCCGGCTTTTCAAAAAGGCAATAAAGCTTTTATTATCCCCGAAATCGAATTACCCGTTTTACAAACTCCAAAGCTAAACGCGTTATATAGGAAATTTATAGTAAATATCGCCCGCATAAAATATCCCATTTTAAATTAAGCATGCAGCAAAATAAGCTTTGGTTTCGGTTGCAGCATAATTTATTTAAAGCTTATATAAATGGGTTGCTTATCCTTTACTTTTCGGAATGGTTAACGGCTTAACATTAAATATTTTCATGCAATAAAATTTACCTTTCCAAATTAAAATTAAAAATTAACATGCTTTTAAGCATTAGGTTTTTTATTCCAAATTATTATTTGGAAAGTATGGAGCAACCTTTTGTTTAGCTTTTTTAATTTTGTATTATTAAGCACATTTTACCAACGTTTAAAATTTGCCCATCTTTTAATTTAAATTTTCGGACCAGCAAAATTACGCGGCAATAATTTAAGCAATAATGCCCAAATTTATTTCATATAAATTTTGTTGCAATTGTATTTGTAATAAATAAGGAATATTTAAGCTTAAATTTAGCTTGTATTAAAAAAAAAAAGTAACGTAAGGGGATTTAAACTTTGGTAAAAAAGCTTATTATTACATACCCTTTTCATTGGCTCCCATTTTAACCATATTAGGAATAAAATTGGGTTAAAACCCTTTTTCGTAACGGTTAAACCCGATTTGGTGGAAAAATTAAATTTAAAAAAAAACCTTTTTAAAATCCGTTAACGCCCGCAAAATCGGAAAATAAACTTTGTTTTTTAACATACCATTAATATTTGGTTTGCTTAATAAAAAATTTAAATTGGCTTTATTGCAAATACGCCGGTTAAAATCGACCAAATTAAAAAGCTTTATTACATATACCGCAACGTTTTTGTTAAAACATTGGAAAAAATCCGCTTTACGAATTTTATCCAACATAACATTTATTTATTTCCCAATTTATATTTTATTAAATTACTTTAAAAAAAATATTTTTAAAATTAAATTAAATTTGTACAATAAGTTTTTTCCGAAATGGCTATAATTAGCTTTATTATCCCGTAAAACGGTTTATAAGCAATAAATATAGTATTTTCTTTTAAACTAACCGGTTTTAACGAATCCTTTAAACTGGATTTTAAAAAAAAGCTAGCCAAACGAATAGTATACAATTACCGCTTAGTTAATTTTCGAACGGATGCAAGCTAATACCCAATGCATTTTATAACCCAAAACATTAATTGCATGTTTTTGGGTTAGCTTTTTTGCTTTTTCCAAATTAACGTTTCCAACGGATATTAAAAAGTCCTTTTAAACCCAAAATATAAAAGCAAAACGGTTTTTATAAATTTTAATAAAATGTAAGCATATACGTGTATAGCTTAAAGCTTAAAATGTTCGATAAATACATACGCCCAATTCGGGGATTTTACTTTTGGATAGCTTTTTTTACGCAACGGAAACCTTAGCATTAAATTCCCGTTATTTTTAAAGTATAGCGAAAAAATGCGCGGATTTTTTGGGATTTATATCGATAACCATTTAAACGCTTTCGAAAATTTCGAATCCATATACAAATTTTTAAGCAAGTATTATTTTTTTAAAATTGCTTTTGCATTAATTGCTTTATTGGGTTACAAAACCAAACTTTTTATACTTTTATTCGAAATATTTAAATTTAAAATTTAAAATGGATCGATCCGTTTTTAGCTTAAATTTAAAAACAAATTTTTTTATTTTAAAAAAGTTTGGTTATTAAACTTTTTTTTTTAAGTATTAACCGTTTTTGCTTTCCCAACCTCGCAACGGGAAAACGCCATTAAATATAGCAAATTTAACATTAAATTTAAACTTTTCGCTTCCGGCTCGTTACCGGACGTATGTCCGCGCGCAAGCGCGCTTCCAGCGCGGTTGCTAGCAGCGCCAACAGCCCCGAAAGCGGCGGAACGGTTACCAACCGCTTTAAAACCAGCAATAACATTACCATAACCAACGCTTTTAACCTTTTCCCAACGCGTACCCGTATCGCAAATTTAAAAAACCAATTAATTAAAACATTAAAGCTTTTTGTACTTTCCGGTAGCACTAAATTAATATTTAAAATCGTAAAAAAATAAATTAAAACCGTAACAAACGCGTTCGAAACGCGGTTTCGCAACCATTGCAATTATATGCTTAATTACTTTCGCATTATAAAAAACGAAATTATCGCTAAAATACGCAACGCTTGCAAGCAAATTACCAATTACGTTTCGATTTTAACAATCGGTTTATTGCAAAGCGGTTAAACCGGTAATTACCCGCTTACAATCCGCTTTTACGCATTTTTTAATACCGGCCCCCCCCCCCCCCCCAAAATATATTTTCGCGCGCACCGAATGCGAAATTACCATTTTAATTAAAAACGTTCCTTTTAAAATTGCAAATTGCATACCCGTTAAAATTACCATTATATTAATTAAAAAGTTCGGTAATAACGTAAAAATAACGCGCAAACTTTTTAACGGTAACGTAATAATTTTATTTTATATAACCGCTATTAAACATACGAAAAATACCGCGTGGGTTATTAAAGTATTCGGTAATAAAGCAATATACCAAACCCAAATTTATAACGTTATAATTAAAAGCATTTAATAAAACGCAATTAACAATAACAATATTTTGCTGTACGAATTTAAAGCGTACAATATTGGAGCCGAAATTAATTTTATTTATGTATAAAACGCCCGGCAACCGGAAAAATACGCTACGGTATTAATTAAAATTATATTTTTCGCTATAGCCCAAACCGCATGCAATAACGGTTTCGTATTTAAAAGCGAAATTTTTAACGTTAAACCGTTTGCAATAAAAGCGAAAACCGTTTAATGTTATAAATGTTACGGGTAAGGATATAAATTAAAATTTTGCAAAAAAAACGGCCCGTTACCCGCATTGCGCCGGGCCGTTGCATAACAACGGCAAAACCGGAAAACTTTTGTGCCCGTTGTACGGGGGTTAATTTGTTGCAAAAAAAAGCAAGCCAAAATGTTGCAATTACGGAAGTAATTACCCGGCTTTCCAACAAGCGTGCCCCGCAGCGAAAAAAAAATTAAAAAGGTTAAAAATATATTTTTAAACCGGCCGAAATAATTCGCTTTAAAAATGGGGAACGAACGCGCACCCCGACCAAATTAAATAAGTTACTTTGCCGTCCATACCTTCCCGCTTTTTGTATTTATCCGCTTTTTACCCGGCCCCCTTTAACCGTTATAAAAAAAGGACAATTTGTTTAATTTAAAATTGTTAACAAAACGCAAACGGAACGGTTTTTTATTAAAAATAACGAAAGCAAAAAAAAAATTTTTAACCAAAAAACGAATAAGCAAATTACGAAAATCCCGCAATAAAAAAACGTTAAATTTTTTTAAATTCGTTTCCAAAATAAACCAATATTTTATAAATTTAAATTTTGCCTTTTTCGGCTTTAATAAAATAGCGGGAATAAAAGGAACAAACAAATGCCGAACCGTTAACAACCCAACGGTACCTAGCAATACCGCGGTTACCAATTCCAATTTTGCTAATGCACCAAACCATAAAACCCCCTCCTCTTCCCCCAATTTACCCCCACCCTAACCGCTTGCATCCTAACCAATTTAGCTCGGCCTTATACCGATACCGTTTAATTTTTTTGCAACCGGAATTACGTTTACTTTTAACCAACTAATTAACGATAATAATAACGTATAAAATTAAATATATTATATTAAAATATAAAAAAAAGCAAAAAAAAAAGCGATTTTCCTTTTTACAGCAACAAACAATACGATATTTTAGCTATTTAAAAGCCGGAGCGCAACCAATACGGGAACTTTTCGAAACCGTACGGTTGCAATTACGAGCTTATTTATTATTAAAAATTTAATTTTAACGCAATACTTTACGTATACAACCGTTTCGCCCCTAAATCGTAAACCGCCCGGTACGGTTACAATTAAGCTTTAATTACAATTATTACGCCGAAAAGCTTATTAAAAATATATTTAATATATTTTTTAAATTTTAAAGCAAACCCCAATTGGATAACGCTTTTTATTACAATCGTTACTTACCCAACCCAAAAGCATACAATTTTTACAAGCAATTTTAACTTTTATTACTTAACTTAAAATTTACATAATAAATATAACGCAAAAAGCAAAACCTTTTTGGAATTAATACGCCGCAAACGATTTAAATTGGCAACGCTTTACGAAAAGGTTACAAAAAGGAAACAAAAAAAAAATAGCACAATTAACCACGTTTAAATAACGCAACAATTTAAAATAAAATATTTAAAATAAAACAATACGATAAAAAAGTTTAACCATTTGTTTCAAATATTTTGCGTTTTTTTTCGAACCGCAATAGCTTTAATTTCGATAAATTAAAAATTGGAAATGGAAAAACGTTAAATTAACAAAGGAATTGGCAAAAGTTAAAGCCGAAATAACCAATAAATTAATAATAACCGGGAATATGCATAACGCCAAAGCTATAAATAAAAAAGCCAATAAATTAATGCAATAATTAACCCAATTTACCAACCAATTAGCCTTTCAACGGAAACCAAGCCCTTTTAACAAACGCGCTTTTTATTAAATATAAAAATTTAACAACTTTCGTAAAGAAACGAACCGTTTGCAACGCGCTTTTATTAAAAACAAAACGCAAATAGCATAAAAAGCGTACAAAGCCGCAAATAAAGCATTCGTTAAAAAAAAACGCTAAACGATGTTTAATTATTAAAAAAGCGTCGTTTTCGCAACGGAACAAAATACTAAAAAAAACGGCGCATTTTGGAAATTCGAAAAATGGGCCCGCTTAAAAAGCTTTTAAAAAAAAACCCGGATTGGCTACCGGATTTAATTAAAACCGGAAAAAACCCGGATACGCTTTGCAACCATTAAAAAAAACCGAAATTTTATTATCCAAGTTTTTTTTAAACCCGTTAATTAACATTTTCGATATTAGCAAAACCGAATTTTCGGATTACTTTTTCCCAAACCTTTTTTAAATGCCCGTTTTCGTTACTTTACAAAATATTATGGAAGCAACGGGCCGTACCAAACCGTAAAAAGCTACGGGCTAAAATTATTTCCCGAACGGGTTATTTAAAGCCGCTAAATTGCCGGGCGCAACCGTTATCGCGAAATTTGCTAACGTAATAATTGCTACAAGCTATTTTCCGAAACGCTTTAAAAAAGCCCTTACGATAATATTACCCAAGCCAAGCAAAATTACCGAAAAAAAAACAAACCGGGGGATAAAAGCTTATTGCTTTGTTATTATTAATTTTAAAAGCTATTAAATTAATTATAACGAAACGAATTGCTAACGAAGCGAAAAAAAAAGCATTTTTTCCAACGGCCAAATGGACAACCAACGGGTTAAAAGCACGGAATTAATAATTTAAAAAGTAATGGAAACGGTAATTGTAGCATGGAATTACGGCGTTACCGCATTATTATTACAATTTAACCTATTTAAAGCATTTAATACCGTTAACCATTTCCAATTGCTAAATACGTTAAAAAAATACGGTTTTCCCTTACCAATCGTAAAATGGGTAAAAGGGTAGCTAGCAAATAAAACGGCCATTTTGCAATTTAACGGTAACATTTTAAACCCAATTTTAATTCGAACCGGAATTTTTTAAAGCTTTTTTTTATCCTTTATACTTTTTATTATATATATTGCATTATTGTATAAAAATTTTAAAAGCATTTTGAAAATTTTCGTTACCGGTTTTGCTAACAATATTAACCTATTAACAATAAAAAATACTGCAAAAAATACGGCCCGCTTTTTGGAAACAATTTAGCTAAAATACAAAGCATAAGCAATTAAATACGGCATAAAATTTAATAATATATATATATATATAAATTTATTTACCCCTTTCGAGCTGTATAGCCCATAGGGAGCATTACGGATCGGGGTAGCTATTTAAAGGTAAAAACCGTGCTTCCAGCCAATAGCTATTTGGTATAAAGCCGGGTAAAAACTTTTTCCTTTCGAAATATTTTTTATTTCGCGTCGTTTTCGTAAGTAATTATTTGTAAAATGTTTTTTGCATTTCCAAACGTTCGGTAAAAAAAAAAGTTATTATTATTCGAAACGAAATATTGTGGTCCGGTCGGAAATCGGTTCGTTCGTTGCATTTAAATCGCGTTGTTAGGTGCACGTTTTCGTACCAATTTAAAGCTTTCCCGTCGCTCCTTCCTTTTTTATTAATTTTAGCAAATGGGTTAATATATCGCGGCTTTTTCCGCTTTTTTTTTCCCAATTTTTTACGCAATTTTATTAAAAAATACCATTAATAATTGCAAAATAGCAATAGCAATAACCGTTGTAAGTTTTCCTTTCCTTGGCTTCCATTACTTTGTCAGCCCATTTAACGTTTAATCGT